AGATTACTTAGATAAATGGTTTATTTCAGCGTGAGGTTAGAGAAAATACAAGATAAATCTAGATCATCTTGAGGTGCCGGAAAGTAAAGAGAGAAGAAATAGAATAAAAAAAATCAAAACAAGAAAAAAAATCAAAACAAAACACAAAGGGAACATGTCAAAAGAGCACAAGGGCCAACTTGAAAGAGCTCCCAGTGTCCACAGTTGGAACAATTAGCGCCGCAAAATAAATAACGATAATACTGAATTATTAACCAAAGAATAAAATAAGTATCTGTGATAAAAATAAATGATTGCATAAATACATAAATGAGAGAGAAGAGACAACTCACAGAGAATTCCAATTAATGAATGAGAGTAGAATATCAGCATTATTAAAATTACTCCAATGGTCACTAGTAATAAAACATATTGATAAAATACATTGATGTATACCCTCTTTTATAATGTAATAAGATGAGCACATTGCATCTCTGGCATTCCCCCAAATCCATAAGCTCAGTCTAATAATAAAAAACTATCAGGCAGATCCAAATTGAGGGACAATCACAAAATACCTGACCAGTACTTTTCAAAATTGCCACAGTCATGAGTGATAAAGAAATACTGAAAAACTGTGACAGATTGAAGGAGACAAAGAAGACATTACAACTAAATGCAACGTGGGATCCTGGACTGGATCCTAGAACAGAAAAAGAATATTAATGAAAAACTGAGAAATCTAAATAAAGTCTCTAGTTTAGTTCATGGTATTGAACCAATAGTTATGAGATGTTCACATTAGGAGAAGCCAGGGGAAGGTGGCATGAGAATTCTCTATCTTTCCAACTCTTCTATAAGTCTAAAGTTATCTCGACATTTTTACAAAATGCTTATATTTTTATCTCTGGCAGCCTTACTCCTTGTCTACCTCCAATTTTGTTCGGAACGTGGACAGGAAAAGGGGATAATATAGATGAATTCCCTAAAATCTCCCTTAAAAAATAACTTTTGCAGGATTTACTAGTTTAAAACTATGTAATGTAATGATGGATAATAGATTAAGTGATTTTTCTAGCCCAACCTTTATCACTCATCTTTTTAAAAATTGTCAGAACGCCTAAGAAGATTATATATGAGAATTTTATTTGAATTATTTCTCTCTCTAGAAAATATTTTGAGTAAGTATCTTTTCTAAATGTATAGCTTTAGGGAGTGGCTGGAGCAAGAGATAAAATGTAAATACCTGAGAAAAAACTAATAATTTAAATACAATTTTAAAATTCTTAATGTATGAATATAGCTTATGAGAAAAATTTATAATTTTTGAGACATTTCTTAAAATGAATAGTTTTTAGAATATTCTTCTGAGGGAGAAAACCACAAGGATATTGAATGATTTTGTTCTATACCTGAGGGATAACAGTAGAAATTACTTTTTAACTCTATGTATTTAAGATAAACACACGCATTTGTTTTTTCTGCCTTTATTTTATTCCTATACTAATATCTTTTCCAGTATGGATTTTTCTCCATTGAAAGAACATGAGCATTCAACATTTATGATTGAGAAGATTGGAGAAAGCTTTCTGTATAAATTAATTCAAATTTCACAGATGTTGCATGTATAACAGATGTGAATCTTTAGGTCAGCTTAGGCCAAATGCAAAAAATGTCTGGACAAGGAGGGGAGGAAGCCCTTAGACAAATGTAAGCGACAGAACACATCATCTAACTCTAAGTACCTTGGAACCGGAAACTAATAAGACACTGTCAAAAAAAGAAAAAAAAAGTCTTTAATATATTGAGATGCATAATGAATTTTCAAGAAGAGGGGGAAAAAAACCCTGCCAAGAATGTGCAATTGATTTTGCTCACAGATGCTGCACTAGAAAAACATTTGAAGGAGATAGAGTTGATCATCAAGGAAACTAAAAGGCGCCTGCTGTTGTTCCATGGTGATTCCACTTTCATTAAATCCAGAGGCACGGAGATGAGCAAAGAGAGATTGCTTCCTTACATAATACAATTTTAACTACCTAAAAGGTTCAACATGGACTTTGATGTAAATTTTAATACATTACAGTTATTCAAGAACTGCTTAGTGAGTTGAATTGACCTGTGATCAGAGAAGGCTCTGTTAGTGCTAAGCTATGGAATAAAATATATTTCTTCTTTAGCAGGATAAAGGCAAACAAAACAAAACAAAACAAAACAAAAAACTGTTAAAAAACAAAATTCAACTGAGTAAATTTTGAAGATCTATTGGCTTTATTCAATGATTCATGAGTCAGGCAGCATCCAACTGAGCAGATAAGAAGGAGCTCTGAGGAGCTGTACCAAATGAAAGAATTTATCGGCAGAAGGGAATGGGAAAAAGGAAGTTATACTAGATAAAGAAGCAGGCTGATTACTGCAAGGTCACTATCTTTTAGGGGATGGCAGGGGTCTATCAGGCAGATTGTCTAATCAGTGTTGATCAGGCGATTCCTGTTTGGTGTAAGATTCCATTAATTTAGTCTTGGGTTGGTGACATGGGGCTTAACATAAGCGAATCCGTTTGGGGCTTGTTGTCTTGTTTTTAATACCACAACACCCTTTTCTGTTGACTACTGTTTATCGTACTACAATTATCTGTAAAGTTACCTTCAATATTGGAGTGCGTAGAGTATTTTTCCTAGTTTTTGTTTTTCTTATTTTTATTTGTTCGTTTGTTTTGTTTTGTACAGACAGCCATCTGCCTTAAATGATGCAGGTATTGTTTTATCTGAAAAAGATGATGGTCCACTGAAAATGGAATCTGTTTTAGCTCTGTTTTTTGTTCTGAGTGTAATTTAAAAATAAACATGTTAGAGACATGTATACCATAGATATATAAGCAGTAAAAATGTGATGTAGGTTAATTCTCCTATTGGCTTACTAGTGTCCCTATGTCAGAAAAGGTACTATTACCTTTATTTAGTTTCTTCTATTTTTAAATGGAGTAAATAGTGCCTATCCAAAACATACAAAATAAATGATTTTTTAAAGAATATAATATTTTAAAATATCTGGAGGCCTAGGATTTGGAGGTATCATTTATGGATAGGATATTATTAGTTTCATTGTGAATTCTTTTTTACATAGTATTTTTGATAGATGAGACCTACATCAACTTGAGTGAGTAAAATTGATTTGTGATTTTTCATTTTCCTAATAAAAGAATAAAAATGCATATTTGTATTCTAGCTCTACAAGATAACTGGAAATGTCCTTAAGATGTCTGCTATCTTAAATGAACAAAATCCTACTGAATATTGGATTTCTATTAACTAGAAATTGTATGTTTACCTTTGCTGAAATTCTTCTCTTTCCTCATAACCACTCTTTATACATTATTACCAAATCGCAGTCCTTCAGTCATCTGTTATTTTTACCTTCATCTTGCGGATTTGTCATATTGATCATGGTACCATCAAGTAAGTGAAAGACCCTCTCGGAGAGGACAATCTGTAACCAATTAAAAAGTCATCTTCTATTTTCCTGATAGAGCATGGCAAGCGTCACGGTCCCGTCTGTGAGGTAGAAAGAAGTAATCGTTATTTTTATTTTGCAAAGCAGAAAACCAAAAACACATAGTGGAACCCATCACATCTGTAAAGAGCTCACATCCTTAAACTCAGCCCCTTGCAAGTTGTATGTTAACAAATTTCATGAGTCAAGTATATATATCACTCTCCCATATAACAGAGTCAGAAGTTAGAAACCCACCACTGCAACACAAATCAGAATTTGCTTTCATAATAGTACATATCAATGCCTCCTTCAGGTAAGTTGTATGTGAAGAAGCATTTCTCTTGGACTAGTGGAAACTTCGGGGTCACTTTAAGATAAACTTAGATACACAAGGAGTCCACGAATAGATTCGGTCAGTTCGACAAACATCTGCTGAGCATGTCCTGTGTGCTGGGGAATGTGTTGGTGGATCAGATTTAAGAGTAAACAGGTTTTCACAGTGTAGTGGATAAGATAGGCAAGAACGCTACACTTTTAATATTATGCGGAGTGATTTAAGAGTACAGAGGAAGGATATTGTGCTAGTCCTGAACAGGAAGAGGGGATAAAGGAAAGCTTGCTGGAGGACACAGAAGTTAAATCCTGAAAGATATTGGGTGTTAGCCAGGAGAACAGACTGAAACATTCAGCACCAAATCACCTAGCAAAGCCTTGGAGTGAAAAATTGGTGTGATTACTAGCCGCTCCACGCTTTAAGTCCAGTGATAGTTGCAACAAAATGATTTACAGGAGGGATAAAAAAACGAACAGGTTTAATCAAGAAGATGAGACAAGAGACAAAGTACTTTTACTGAGAAGAACGTGGCAATCCTGAGCTGTCTGGGCAGTCCCCAATTTACCATGTTTTTTTAAAGTCTATCTGTTCATATGCTAGTATATGCTCAGTTTTAAATGTCAGATAAAAAGCCAATCCTTAAAAATGAACACGACCAATTTATATTTATTTATTCATGAGAATTCTAAACAGACAACAGCAAGATGTGCTCACACAATTAAAGATGGGTATGTGTGTGTGTACACACACATCCCAAACAATACAACTCTATTTGCATTAAACTTATTAAGTCAAATCAATTTTACAGACATGTAGGCTAGAGCTTTAGTACTTAAATCCTCTTGATCTTCCACCCGGTAAATTTCATTTCCTACTGTGTTTTTCTGCAATTTATTTTTAATGTTGTATTTGTTTGGACATCCTTAACAAATAAAATAGCAACCCGGAAGTTGCAGAGGAATATTGCAGACATTTCAGTGAAAAAACAATCAAATTCACATACTATGCTTTTTGGTCACACAGTCAATGTAGGTTGGAAATACATTCTACTCATGGAGTCTGGGAATATTTAATTATTAAGTAGACCCCAAAGGTGTACAGATCAAGGAGATACATAGGGATAAGGAGAAATCTAAATCATATTTTCTACTCCCCAGAAATATATCCTTTAGATGGGGAGACTCACCTGTTGTTTGTTAAGCATCTGTTGTTATACGCTGGCTCGATGATAGGCATTTTGTCGTACATTACCTTATTTTTCTGAACAACACTGAAAGCGAGAATAAGGCTCTGAAAGAGAAAACAATCCATTGTCAGTCACACAGCAAGAATTCAAATCAGGATTTCTGAGTCCACGCCCAGCACTCTTTGTACAATGCCTGCAAAACTGTTACTTTGAGCAATTACACCCCTATGAAGGGTGAATGATGACAATGCGGTTTAGCTGCACCCGTAAGAAAATAAAATTTGTAAAAATCCAAGTTTATGAGATAGAAAAATTAGGAGATCCTTGTATTTTAAAGAAATTTGAATAAGAAATCTGAATATGTGTTTATCATAAACAAGTATAGATCATTTACTATGTGCCAAGCCTTGTGCTAAATGCTTTATGGTGATTATCTCATTTAATCCTCAAAATAATTGTATGAGGCAAACTACTATAGCACTGAGAGGAAAATATAAAATTTGCCCCCAAGAGTGAGTCTGGAATCTATTTTGCTCCCAGCTATTCTACAGCCTGCTCCCAAACTTCCTTACACGTTAGAAGTCATAAAGTCTAGAGCAATCTTGGATGTGAGGTAGCCCCGCTCAGATGGTATATATGAGTGGGAAACTATAAAGTTAAGGATATTTTTCATTTCAACAACATTTTACAAACCTTTCCTCTACACATGAATTGCGGTTGATGTCCAAAAGTTTAGAGCATAAAATTAAACTAACATTACTATCATGGGAATGTATTTTTATAGTATAAATGATTGCCAAGAATTTGAAGCAGAGTTTTTGTTTGTTCAAAATTCCACATAGCCTATTTAGTAAGCTCTTCCTAGTTGTATTTCAAATATAGATATTAATGTGTATAACTTCAAGAACTTAAAACTCAAAGTAAACAATATCGACACTTCCTTTTTTTAATATTGACATTTTCTAAAGAATTAAAATAGTGTAGGCGTCTAGCCCATTTGTTCACTATAGTTCATTTAGTTTCTTAAGGAAGTAAGACTGTGGAATAGAGAAAGGAACGTAAACTTTGGTGTCTGAAATCGAACCCCATTTTCCCACTTCCTTTCTCTGTGAACTTGGACACCTTGTCAAAGCAAAATCTCAATGTCCTCATCTGTGGAATGGGGATAATGTCATGGAGCAGCAATGAGGATTAAATGGAATAACAAATAACATGTTCTTGGCACTTGTTACCAAATAAGAATTGTCACAATATGTTTTATCAGGATGATTTTGAAAATAAAATAAGTTGTTAGTATTTTTATTTTAAATAAGTGGCAAGGTAAAACCTTCAATTCAAAAGTTTTGACAGTCCAATACTGTTCTTTGTTCTGAGTGTGGAAATTAATGTCCTGGGTTTGTAAAGAGAAACAGGGCAGAGAAGCTGTTCAGTCTCCGTAGAATATCCGCGTTCGTGTTATCATTATCATTGTTGCCGTTTAATTTTTCCTGGTTGCCCGCCTCAGAAGAAGTTCTAATCGTTTATTAGCATTTTACCCATAGGAACTGTGTTCTAATTACAGTTGCAACAAGAAAGGAGAAAGTATACTTAATGTAGAAAATAAGGGCTTTTGTCCTTGTGGTTGCGGTTCGTGGTTTTATTTATCCTATGTCGTTCCATTTTGCTGAATGCAGAAAATGGAATGTCGGCTTTATAGCTAAAGTTTTTAGGTTCTTTGCTTCTCTTAACAAACAGATCAATACTACACTCTTCCACTCTGTGGACATAAGAACCACCTCTATAAGAGTCTTTCCTTGAGGACAGATCTTCAATACACTTGGAGTAACAGACAGAGGATAAAATCATTAGACTTTTAATTTACTAGCAGGGTTTAAAGGACCATGTCCAACAATAGTTTGCTTTAAAAAGCTGTAATGATCTAATGAGGAAACTCGTGACTTAATCTGTTAAAACTGTTTTTGTATCTTCACATAGAGCCCATCTTCGGTACTGTTTCTCATTAGTCTGATGAGGAATATGTTGACTTTAGGCCTTTGTTTTAACTCCATTTGGAAACGAGAGCTACCCAGCATGCTTTAGTACAATACACTTATGAAGGCTGTTGTAGAAGTGAATGCAGTAATTACTTACCTCTGTGCTGCACATTACAGTTTACAAAAAATAAAACAACAAAAAAACGTTTAACGTAAGCAGGATGTGTAGCTGCTATGTTATAGATTGATGGCAAATATTTTGAATGTGATATTTATTTTTCTTCACAAAAGAATGACAAATGAAGTGATTACATAATTGAATTTGACAGCAGAATGGAAATGCATTTTTCTATGTGACTATTATCTGAAGATAATGAAAAATAAACAACAATAATGCTTTCTTTATCCATTCCTAGGGAGCTAAAAAAAAGTTTACTATTTCGTGAAATTGTCCATGATAGTCAGGCACTTCTTAAAATTACTCCCAATGCAAAAATTGCACGCAAAGACAAGAGTACAAATGGGGGTAGGATTCCTAAATTACTCAGCTAAAGCCTGCTAGATTAGCTGTGAATTATTCATAAACTATGCACTTGGAGAGAAGGCCTTAAAGATGTCTGCCTAGTCCAGGCTCAAATTCGATGTTTAATTTTTCTGTAACATTGTTTGTAAATTATTCTCCAGCCTTCTGTGCAATATCCATAGTGTTGGGGAACATACTACTAGGTAAGGTCCCCCCACGTCCCTGGAGAATAACATGAGGCCATGCGAAGAAGTCTAGATTTAGGATCTGCAATATAATGCTGACTGGGTCTTAATATCTTAGATGGCCTTTGAACTTAACTTTCCTGTAAAATGAAGGATTTGAACTAAGATATGTAGTGAAGAAACTCTTTACTTCAGCTTAAATGGTTCTGTAATGTCAATCTCTTCAAAACCTTCAATGGTCTAAATTTTCCAAAATTAAAGGTGAAAACCCTGCCATATCCTGCCCAGAGTTTTTCAGTGAGAGTTTTCTCAGCTCTCTCTTTGTTGGGCTTCTTCCTCTCTCCCCTGTAATTCCTACAAACCCAAACTTAGAACTACTTTTGGAGTGAGTATGCAGAATAAGTAATGTTAGATACTATGTCATATCACATCAGAAAACTTATTTTCTGGTTCATCAGCTACTGGTGTTGTGAAGATTAAGCGTTGGACTAAGGGGCTGCCCGACTGGTTGATTCATTGTAAAGTTATTTTTCCTTCTTTACAAGCCAGAGATATCCAGAAAGGTGTTCCACTGCAGTTTTTCATGTTCCCCATCAACCATTCATCTAATCGTTTTAGGTGATAATTCATACCCGGATCAGTAATATCATGAGGGGTTCCAAAATGACAGTTATATAATCCTAGAATTTCTTATACATTATTATCTCTTCTTCTTCTATTACTCATTTACGAGCCTGGTAAATTTCCTATGGGCTATATCCAGATTATTGCTTTGCTTGCTTTTAAAGCAGTACCATACGACCTATATACATATTGACATTTGACCTGTGGTGACTCCCAGATTTCTTTGTCGTACTTATACTCAGCTAACCATGTCATGATGTTTTCAGTTGCTTCAATTCTTCGTCAGCCCAGTTTAATCATTGCACATAATACAACAGGTGTCATTTCGATTCATTGTTTTCATTGGGCAGCACTAGGGCTCATGTATAGGGAAGTTGGCTCTCTTCTTTAGCACTTTAAATGGGGTTGCCATTCAGTGTGTGAGATCATTTATTTGCTAAAATATATGCTTGTGACTTGTTTATAATAATAGGCATCTTTAAAGTTGGGATTGTCTCCCACCTGGTAATCTCCCGGGATTTGCAGATTGCACATTCATTTCTAGGCCATAGATTTTTGGTTTTGTTTATAGTCAAACGATACCTATTTTAAAGGGTAAGATACCTACTTAATATCTTCCTTTTCAATAGATACATTTTATTTCATAATGGGCTTTTAAGAAAGACTTTAGGTCATACGTTAATGTAAATTTTAATGTCAGTTTGATTATGTCTGTAATTCATTTGATTAGTCGACTAATCAGATAAAAATATGTTAAGTAGTTATATAATACACAGCTTATTTCATTAGTCTGCAGACAAATTTTTATTATGACAATGACTTTTCTATGCAGACCTAATTATTTTCAATTTTATAAAAGGTTTAAGGCTCCAATGCATTGAAAAGACCTTCTATGTAGAACAAGCCTCATTTTTCTTGGCTTCATGGGAGTGTAGGTTGTTTGAATTTTCACTGAAGTAGTTAATAGTGTTAACCAGAGTTAACAGAAGCATTTAAGCATGCTGAATGTTGACTTTTTGACAAACGTTCTCTTAATTTAAACTAAGACTATATAATCATACAAAAGCAATCTCAGCCTTTTTAGCAGCATAGATTCTTTCCTTTCCAAGTTACGCTTAATTATGTTCATGAAAGTTTTTAAACAAAAATCATCTGCTATTTGTTCTAACATATTGCTGAGAAGGCAAAATATTGAATCATAGAGATAAATTTAGGGTAAGAGACTGAATTTGTGTAGGGACTAAGGAACTACAATTTTCTTTGACAGAATGTTGTCTTCCCTTAAGACCACAACAGACAAAAAAATGTGAAGTTTCAATTGATTTTCCCATTTTTGTGGAATTTCTAAAACAAGATAGCATGCCTTACCTAATAAACTGACTTCTTTATTAAGAACATTTTAATTTTCCTACATCAGTTAGTGAACATTTAAATCAAAAGAGTTGAGAAGGCAGCCTGCCACAATTTTGGGACAATCAAAATGAAAAGAAAAAGAAAGAAATGAATGAACAAATAATGATAATTTTGAAAATGTCTCAAGCCTTGACCTTGTCATAACTTATTTTGAAGGGCAAGATAATTGGCTTCAGCAGAAATGATACCACATGCAAGCTTTTCCAATTTCTGACTTAATGAAAGTTGCAAAATTACGAAAATGTAATACATTCTTACCACAGTTCAAATACTTTTTTCTCAGTATTATGGCCACTCTCAGTTCCCATTGGCTAGAAGAAATGGATAATATGTTGAGTTTAATAGTAGGCACTTACACGAGATTATCAGAACCATCAAATATAATA